TTTATATATAATTATAATTATATGATTACAATAATTCATTCTTATAATATTATTATGATATCCCTATCACAGCTTACCAGTATGCTCCCTACCACTGATCACCACAATATCATTACAATTATACCATCACTACCACAGCTTATGCTCACTACCCCTACCCCATGATTCAAAATTGCAAATTTTTGTGAAGATGGTGTTGCTGTACATAACAGATGACAGTTTAAGAAGGAATTTAATATACAATGCAGAAAAAAAAAATTGTAGTACCTGTTTCATGACTGTTATTCATAGCTCTTTTGGTTGATTTATTCTCCGTTCTACACTTGTTGAGTTTAGACCTCACCGTTATGAGCTGGTTTCTGAGCTGCCGGTTTCGACTTTGAAGCTTGGCGCAACTTTGGCATTCATCATTTGCCTCTTCCACAGTTTGAGTAAAACTATCTCGCGTCTGGTGATAAAAGTGGTTTCATAAAAGTTGATAAAAGTAAAAATCCGAAACAAGAAGGTAGATGTAATATAAATACTACATTTTTGGGGCATAGCATAATACACACATTTAATAAATGATGCTCATCTGTTCCACTTTCGTCTTCAGCTTCGGCTAAGATGTTTGTGTCCGCATCATCCAGGCGTTCCACCTCGTTATTACATGTATCTCCATCCTGACGTTCCTCTTCGAGTGATGCCATTCGCGTTTTTGCGTTTTTCAGGGACTAGAGAAAGCAAAKATAATYATCAAATCGCGGAGCTATTTTAACAGAAAAAAATCAGGATTGTGATCTATAAAAAAGATGAAAACCAATAGGGAGTCWAAAACAAATCSACTCTTACCATTCTTCGATTTCGGCTCGCCTGAGCCTCCGTAACCTCACTTGTCAAAGTCAAGGACTTTGCATGAACGCTAGGAAAGACTGAAACACCAATATCATCCGTTATCAGTCGAGGAATGATTGGGCGATTTGTCAGGGCATCTGGTATAGTGAAAAGTCTTTGAAAATCCTCTGGTTTGAAGTGGAGAGAGCACAAAGCCGAATTTCTGGTGGGTTCCCATTGAGCTCTCTTCTGCTTCACGAAATCGACCCATTTTCGTCTTCTTTTCTTGGCCTCTGGCCTTTCATCGTTTGAGAAAGGGATGCCATGGAGTACGATCCCTTTTTCCACATTAGCAAAGTTGGAACAGCCGCCAGCAACACATCTATTTGGCATTTTTTAAAGCTTTGTATAACTCGCACTATAAACAAGACCATGTATGCACAACAACGCGCCAGCAGCAGTGTGATACCGCGTCGACGTCACGAATTCATTTAGTACACAGTCCTTTACAAGCGCGGTATGAAAATCGAAGCGGGCGTGAATTAGCGATTTTTCAGAAGTTAATCTGCTCGTTTTTCAAAGCAAAAAAAAGTCATTCATTTTTTTTCTTCGGAATATGTTTTAAAAACATGTATATTTTCTAATAATTCATGCTTTGGCCAGGGTTGATAGGCACTTTAATAGATATAGCGCATTATAAGATACGTGTTAAAGGAAAATTACTCCTGCTTCTTCATTAGTTCCAGTTTCATAATTTTTTTCATTAACACATTTCATTCTGGAGTGATTATCTCAAAAATGAGCTGGGAAACCCCATTTTTAACTCGTGGATTCGCGAAGCGTAGAAACGAGTTATTGTGAGGGGTCTGAAATATGCAAATGTGCCACTCCCTCACTCACTCGCTCACTAAGATGTTAGCAGATCGATAATTAAACGTTTAGCGATCGTCTTACGTCATCTAATTACGAATGTTACACGATTATAACAAGCACAAAGCTCTTATACAATATAGATTACTTTGTTACTTTATATGAGGAAATGAACATAGTTTTTATCTTCAAATTATTCATATTAAAAGAATCAAGGAACGATGCAAGTCGAAGTAAAATTATACAATTAACACCTGAAATAAAATTTCAATGA